GGGTGCTGTTTTCATGGGTGTCACTGTTGCTGCCAGGGACCCAAGGACCCAGGGACTTGTAGGTAGTCCCTGCTGCTGGCAGAGCAGGTGTCAGGAGTGCTGCCACTTGGGGCTGGGCCACCAGTTCTGCTGTGGTTCCTGAAGCCTCTGGTCACAGGTTCCATCTGCCAGCACTGGATTGGGGCAAGGTCTGCTTTTTCTGCCTCCACCACATTTGCTCACAGTTGGGCAGGCAGAGGCCAGCATCCACCTCTCTTCCACTCTGCCAGCAGTCACAAGAAGCTGGGGAAACCACCACTGTCTCCTCTACACTCTGCCGGCAGTCACATAGGGCTGGACCACCCACTGCTGCCTCTGCTCCACTCTGCTGGCAGTCGGGTGGGCCTGGGTGCCCGCCACCTCAGCTCACAGTCACGTAACCCATTGTGTGAAGATCCACACCCTGGATTGCCACTGCTGATGGAGGCGGAGGCGGCTGCCTCCCCTGGTTCCACTGCCTCCCAGGGGTCCAGTCCACCCACCTTCAGATATATAGATGCATGGATCTATACAAGGATCTCTTGGGCATCCTGTTGTGCAGTGTAGGGAATCCTCTGTTGCTCAATGGATGTGTGATAGAGTCTGAGAGCTCCCCCCTACAGGCCTTCCTGACTCCAATTTAGTTAAGATTTCCTTCATTAATTTCCACAGTAACTTGCCCAAGATCACACAGCTAATGCATTGATGGGAGACTCAGGACACAAAATTTTGGCAGCCTGGTTCCAGAGCTTCCCTTTACCTCTGTGTACACTGCTCCTCTGCTCCTAAACTCCCTGCAACCAAACTTCTCCGCCTTGTGCCCATGTGCTGTTTGAAACTGGATAAGTGGCTTAACCTCTCTGCTTTCTCATATGTAAAATGGGGGCCCCGTGAGGTTGTTGAGGAGGAAATATGATAATGAGTGTCAGTGCTCAGCACGGTGCCCAGCAACACAGCCTGATCTTTCAAGGATTGCCCTGATTGAGGAAACACCTCAGGTTAGAGATGCACCTATGCACACACCTGTGGGCAGGCTCCCAAGATTCATTTCCTCCCCCACCCCACCTCACTCTTTAACTAGAGCACCCAGAACCCCTTTGGGGCTCTGAGAAACATTCTTCATTGGGGGCCACAGGCATGGCACGGGGGTGGGGAATCGGACTGGGATCAAGGCTTCCTGCAGGTGGAAACAAGTCTGACTGGGGTCCAGACGAATAAATAGCCCAGCAACCAAAGAAGGAAGTGGGGAGGCACTGCAGACTGAGGAAGTTATGCGAGCAAGGTGGAGAAGCCCGGAATAGCTCGCAATCCCACTGCTGAGCTGGCAGGGGCCAGTGGGAGGGCAAGGGCAGCTGGCAGAAACCTAAAGACAGGCAGACACACCTGGACTTCACACCAGGGCCCACAAGAGCCAAGGAAGAGTTTAAAGAAGGGAGGGATGTGGCCATACAGGGTGGATGTTTCACTCCACGTGCATGCTGGTGTAGGCAGAGTCATTTCCCCCAAAGATGTCCACATCCTAACACCCAGAACCTGTGAATATGTTACATTACATGACAAAAGGAATTTTGCAGATATGATTAAGTTAAAGATCTTAGAATGGGGGATTATCCTGGACTATTTGTGGGGTCCCAATGTAATGACAAGGGTCCTTATAAGAGGGAAGAGAATCAGGGTCAGAGAAGAATACATAGTGATGGAAACAGAGGCTAGAATGAAGCCCTTTGAAGATGAAGGAAGGGGCCATAAGCCAAGCAAAGCAAGATCCTCTAGAAGCTGCAAAAAATGAAGAACAGATTCTCCTCTAGAACCTCCAGAAGGAACACAGCCCTGCTGACACCTTGATTTCAGACTTCTTCCTGCCAGAACTGCAAGATAGTAAATAGGTGTTTGTGGTTTGCGGTCATTTGTTACAGTAGCATCAGAAACACATACCCTTTAGGAGCACAAACTCTGGATCCCGGCTGCCTGGGTTCCAATCCCACTCTTACCAGCTAGAGGATCTTGGGCAAGTGGCCAAAGCCCTCAGTTTCTTCATCTGTAAAATGGGCATAGTAACAACACCTACAGCTTGCAGAATAAACAGTTTAAGATATGTGAAATAGACAAGATGCTGCCACTGAGCCTCACGGAGATGTTTGCTGTCTTTAGTGTGTCTTCAAGTATTATACACCATAATTTTTTCAAAGAATACAAAGGTGTGCCTTATAAAAAAAATCCCCAGTTCCTGTGGATGAACTGGAGGAAGAGAATCTACAGCAGAGAGACCAGGGACCACAGGGGTGGAGAGAAGGATGGGCTGGGAGAGACAGTCAGATGGTGGCGAGGGCTGGACACGGGGTGAGGGAGAGGGAGGAAGAAGGGACTCTGCCTTGGAGGCCTGTTGGGGTTGTCACCAAAATAAGGCAAGAGGGACGAGGAGCAGGTGTTTGTAAAAATAAAAGTATGGTTCAACATGTCCAGCGCTCACTGTGTGTGGGCAAGGGGATGAGCATTCTGCTTGCCTGGTGCCACCTGCTTGTCATCCTAACTCAGAGAGAGGTTCTACGGCTGTGAATGTGCAGTTTACAGATTAGGAACTGAGGCTGGGAGAAGACAGAGCCGGAACCAAAACCGCTGCCCCCGGTGTCCTCCAGGGTGGGGGTACCTTGTGCCCAGGCCTCTGCTGAGTGTGCATGAGGGGGTAGGGGAGGGAAGAAGCCATAGGGCAGATCAATTGATTCACCTAGGTCAAGGTTACTGGAGAGTTAATGAGTAGTGAGGGAGAAGGGGGAGCCCAGGCTGTGTGGTGGGAGGAGAAGGGGCCTGGCTGTGGGTCCTGGAGGGAAATCTTAGAAAGCTGTGTAGCAAGAACCCTATCCTGGAAGTGAGGGCCAGGGAGGGAGGGGTGTCCCTGCTGCTCCCAGGCCTGGCTTTGCCTCTGTGGGGAAAGGGTGGGGGGGGCGAGGGTACAGCAGGGAGATAACTGCACCCAGGCAGGGGTGGACAGGGAAGGGGGGTACCTGGGTCCGCCCAGAAATCACCCCCACTTCCTTCCTCTTATCCACCTTGGGTTGTCAGACAAAATACAGGGTGCCCAGTTAAATCTGAATTTCCAATAAATAACAAATACTTTGTTAGTATAAATAGGTCCCAGTTATCCCATTCCGCATCCCAGGCAGCCTCCCTCCCCAGCCCTCCACGCCCAAAAGCTTGCTAACTGGAAGTCCCGTCCCCCCAGCCACCTTCTCTCTCTCCTCTGCTGGCTTATCTTTCCCAACATCCTCCTCCCAAACTTCTGGGCACAAATGCACATCCCCCAGGAAAAAGGCATGAAGAATTCCAGCTGCCACCTCCTCCCCTCCCAATGGGCCTTACTCCATTTTCGCCTGCATCCCTCTGGTCAGTCCCTGGAAGACAGGGCCAGGACCCTTCCCAGACCTCCAGCACCGTAGGCATGAGCCTTCCCTCTGAGCCTGGGGTCTTCGAAGCATCTCGGCTCCTTTAAGTGTCAAAACAGCAGAAACTACCCCCAGCCCCATCTTTCAGATGGATTAACTGAGGCTCAGAGAAAGGAGGAACCCGGCCTGGCAGGGAGACAGAGGCCGCAGGAATTCCCTCTCGAGGTTTTCAAACCACGCAGCCCAAACGCTTAAGGCCACAATGAGACCAGGAAACGGGATGGGTTTTGGGGGGGATGGGAGAGGAAAACAGAGAAAGTATTGGGGGGTTGGGGGTTCCCAGCAGGTGGCATCACCTCCAACCCCCTACCCCGCCCCCAGTTTCAGAAGCTGAATCTCCCCGATTGTAGAAAGTAAGCAGATGTTTGCACTCCCCCTCCTCCTCCTTCAAAAGAAAGGATGTCGAAATCAAAGCAGACAGAGGTCAGGTTTGTTTTGTTTCTCCAGGCCTCCCCCGCTCCAGGCATGAGGGCAAAGCCAGTAAAAGAGCCCGGTTTACAGGAAATCAGACCAGTTCCCCTTTAACCCCTGGATGGGGCTTTGGAAACCAGCCCTCGAGGGATGAAGGCACCCCACCAACACACCCTTGGCCTCCTACTCACACCCCTACCCCAGATGCACAACCGTGCTGGGAATCAGAGAGATGCAAATTAAAACGACACTGGGGCAATGATCCAAAGCTCTGCAGTGGGGAAATCGGCAGTTTTGTGCTCAGCCAGTGCGTAAGTAAATCAATACACTTATGGAGGGGAATTCAGCAGTATCTAGCAAGATTACTAATAAAGACCTTGATCCAGGATTATCTCCTTTCATAGCAATAACAACCTGTGAAGTTGGTGCTGTTATAACCCTATTTTACGTGAGCAAAGTGAAGCTCAGAGTGGTTACCAGTAGTTTGACACCCCAAATAGGTGTCAGAGTTGGAAACTGAGGCACGCTCAAGATAACTCATTGGAGAGTGCATGTTTTGTAACCGGGGCAGTCTGTCCATCAGCAGGAAGCTGGTTACTTTCACACAATATAGTATGGGGCAGTTGCCTGTAAGAACAAAGAGGCTCTCTGCACACTGAAATGAAATAATCTCTAAGGTATATTGTTTATGAAAGAGCAGGGTATCATTTATGGTTGGCTAATCTTTGACAAAGGAGCCAGGAAGATACAAAGGAGAAAGGCAAGTCTCTTCGATAAATGGTGTTGAGAAAACTGGACAGCCACATGCAAAAGAATGAAAGAAACCATTATCTTGTACCATACACAAAAATTAACTCAAAATGGACTCCTGCACTACCAAGTGGATGTAACAGGGAAAGGTCCCTGATCACCAGCTGGCCTTGAACCTGAGGGAGTCCAGGGCAGGGGGCAGTTGTGTTCATGTTGCAGGAGGACATGCCCTCAGGTTATTTACCCCAGGCTGTGTTGGCCTCAGGGATTGAAAAATTTAGAAAATGGTGTTGAGAAATCTGGGGCAGTCCCAGGGAGGGAAGAGGCCACGGGGAGTGGAGGGCTGGGCTTAGAGGGAGGAGGAGGATAAAAGGAGGCTTCCAGAGATCTCTGCTCACTCCTCCCCGTGCTCTCCCTCAGTCCCTCTGTCCCTCTGTCCCTCCACCGACCCTGCACCATGGGGCCTGCCTCAGGTCCCAGCCTGCTGCTGCTTCTGCTGAGCAGCGTCTCCCTGGCCCAAGGGGATCCCTTGTAAGTAGTCACGACCCCACCCCACATAAGGCTGCTGCTGAGGTGGGAGTGGGCATGTGTGGGGACAGGTGGCTTTAGAATTCAGGGTGCATTTGGGTGTCTGTGGATGCAGGGATGAGGGGTTGGGATGTTTATAAATTCAGGCTGCCTGTGAGGTTGAGTATTTATGGGTTGGGTGTGTGTGGAATTCAGGTGTTGTGGGATGGGGGGGTCAGATGTTTATAGAACTGGGTGTCTGTAGGTTTAGAGTGCGTGGGGTATGCAGTGATTCTGTGTATGGGGTGATGTGGAGTCTCGGAGGTCTGGATGTCACAGGATTTGGGATTTATGAGTTTCAGTGTTTGTTGTTTAGAGACCTGGTGTTTGGGTCTATGTCGGCTGGCGTGGGTGTATTTGGTTGTATTTATAGGCTTGGCCTGCTAGAGGCTTAGATTTAGAGAGTTCGAGGGTTTGGGGTTTAGAGGTTTGGTGCATAAGGGTTTGGGTATGTATAGTTTGGGATATCTGAGGGTTGGGTGTTTAGAGACTTGGGGGTGTTTAAAGATTTAGGGGTTAGCACTTGAGGAATGTGGGCTTAGGCAATTGTGGGTTTGGAAGTCTAGAGGCTTGGGGGAGTTGTCAGTTCTGGCTTTGAGGTTCAGGAGTTGATGGGATCCACATCCCCTGGCTGTCCCGGGTCATTGGATCCAGTCCAGGACCAGGGGCTGGGGCAGAGCCCTGGGGACAGCGCTGACCCCGGTGAGCTGGAACGTCAGCTCCCTGGGATGACAGCTCCACCCCGACGCCCACTTCCGGCAGCTTCACCATGATCACCCCCAACATCCTGCGGCTGGAGAATGAGGAGACGGTGGTGCTGGAGGCCCACGGAGCTGGAGGGGACGTTCCTGTCACGGTCACCATCCACGACTTCCCGGCCAAGAAGCAAGTGCTGTCCAGTGAGAAGACGGTGCTGACCAAGGCTGCGGGCCACCTGGGAACAGTCACTGTCAAGGTGGGATCACACTGAAGCCTGACCCTACTGACGCCCCTCCCATCTCTGAGTCCTCCCCCTCTGAGCCGCAACCCTCTCTGAGCCCCACCTCATTTGAGCCCCGCCCCCCTCTGAGCCCCGCCCCTTTCTGGGCCCGGCCCTTTGCTGAGTCCCCTCCCCTTGAGAGTTCCTCCTCTCCCTGAGTCCCTCCCCTCTGAGCCCCGCCTCTTCCTGAGCTCCTCCCCCTCTGAGCTCCGCCCCCTCTGAGCTCCGCCCTCTCTATCCACATCCCCCTCTGAGCCCCGCCCCTTTCTGGGCCTGGCCCTTTGCTAAGTCCCCTCCCCTTGAGAGTTCCTCCTCTCACTGAGTCCCTCCCCTCTGAGCCCCGCCTCTTCCTGAGCTCCTCCCCCTCTGAGCTCCGCCCCCTCTGAGCTCCGCCCTCTCTATCCACATCCATCTCTGAGCCCCGCCCCTTTTTGCCCCTCTCATCCCTGAGTCTCCTCCCCCTCTTAGCCCCTCCCCTCTCTGAATCTGCTTTTGTCTCTGAGCCCCTCCCTTCTGTGTGACCCTCCCCTCTGAGTGCTACCCTTTCTGAGGCCCTCCCCTCTCTGAGTCGCCTTGCCCCTCAGAGCTCCTGATCTCTCTGAGTCCTCCCCCTGCTGAGACATTCCCTTCTGAGCCCCATCCCTCTCTTAGTCCCATCCATCCTAGCCCCACTCCCTCTGAGCCCCTCCTTTCTCTGAACTCCACCCCTCTCTGAGCCCTGCCCATTTCTGAGCCCCTCCTCTCTGAGCCACGCCCCCTTTGGCCCCTCCCACCCCTGAGTCTCCTCCCCATCTGATCCCCGCCCCTTTCTGAGTCCCTCCCCTCTCTGAATCTCCTTCCGTTTCTGAGCCCCTATCCTCTTAGCCCTCTCTTTCTTCAGAGCCCTTCCCATCTCTAAGTCTCTCCTCTGAGCCTCAGGCCTTCTGAGCCCGTCATCTCCAAGCCACCTTCCCCTTCTGAACCTTCCTCCTCTGAGACTCCTGTCTGGTTCCCCCTTCCCATCGCCCTCTGATCTGTACCCCGTCTCCCGGTACCCCTCCACACCCCAAACCTGGGCAAACCAGGAGTGCCTGCAGGCCCTGTTGTGAGGAGGGGCAGGTGTGGACTCAGCCCAAGGCCTAGAGGCTGGACCCAGGGCAAGGGGCCCTGGAGCAGACCCCTAAGCATGCCCCGGTCCGTGCCTAGATCCCGGCCAGCAAGGAGTTGAGATCAGCGAGGGGGCAGAGTTTTGTGACTGTTCAGGCGAACTTCGGCGGCACCTCAGTGGAGAAGGTGGTGCTGGTCGGTGTTCAGAGCGGGTACCTCTTCATCCAGACGGACAAGACCATCTACACCCCGGGCTCCACGGGTGAGGGGCTGGACGGTGTCTGGAGAGGGTGGGGCAGGGGGGTGGGGAGGGGCAGGCCTCACCCATCTCTCCCCTTCTCTCTTGCCTCCTCCCAGTCCTCTATCGGGTCTTCACCCTCGACAGCAGGCTGCTGCCCGTGGGCCGAACCGTTATCGTCAGCATTGAGGTACCAACCAGCCAGGGCCCCAGACACACCCAGGGCAGAGATGCGGGAGAGACAAGACGTAGGGACAGAGAAAGAGACCCCGGGAAAGGCATAGCGGCAGAGACCCAAAGGCAAAGAAATACATAGAGGCAGAGAGAGAGAGAGGCCCGGAGATGGGGCAGGGACCCGGGGCAGGGACCCGGGGCAGGGATCTGGGATGGGGAACGATGTCCCCGCCCGATTCTGGCACAAGAGAAACCCCTGGTCGCTGTGTGACTCTGAACAGGTCACTTCACCCCCCTGAGCTGCAGTTTCCTCATCTGAAGATTGGAATAATGGCAAATAATAATAATTCTATGTAGTCTATTCTGCCTACTGCAGCCAAAGTCAGGTCCCTCCCTTCTCTGTCCCAGCCCTCCATGCTCCCACCTCCCTCGGATAAAAGCTCAAGTCCTCCCTGGGGCCCACAAGGCCCTGCACGACCTGCCCCCTGTCCCTTCCCTGCCCTCCCCTCCTCCCTCTCTCCCCTTCGCTCACTCTGCTCCAGCCACTTGGGCCTCCTTGCTGATCTTCCAAGACGCCAAGCAGGATCCTACCCCAGGGTCTTTGTGCGGGCTGTTTCCTCTGCCCAGAAAACCCTCTTCTTCCAAATATCCACACAGCTTGCCCCCTCACATCCTTCAAGTTGAGGCCTCGCTGAACACCTTGTAAAATTGTAAACCCTCTCCCCAACACACACACACACACACACACACACACACACACACACACTCCTCTCTCCTCCCTTTCTGCCCTCTCCTTCTGGCATCCTGTAAATTGGATTTATTCATTTCTTAATCCCCCCCTCCCCCAACTGCCATTGAACCTAAGTTCCATTTTATCTGTTTGTTCAGGGCCTTATCTCTTGAACCCCGCACAGAGCTTGGCGTATAGTAAGGCTTAGTAAGAACTTACTGGAAGAAGGGAGGGAGAGAGGAAGGGAAGGAGGGAGAGAGATGTCCTCCTCATAGATCTTCATTTGTACTTATTGAAATCATGCAAAGGTAACGGGGACCAGGTTCTGACGGCCATGAGCTGGCTTTTGATATTGGTGGGATCTCTGGGGAACAGAGAACACAGACCCCCTCTAAAGGCACAGATCCGCCCAGCTTCAATCAGATGTCACCTTGTGCCATCAGGAACTCATTATCCACAGTTACACCAATTTCCTAGAGAATCCAGAAAACCAGACTTTTACGTGGTGTCTCCTGATGTTTCACCATTGACAAGGAAATAATATATCTTAGGTCAAACCATGCAAAATTGCCATTCTTATGGGTCAAAAAGCCAAATGTAGGCAATTATGTGTGGCTCAGCATGCATCGAAGGCTTAGCCCGGGGTCTAGCACGAAAGTAGATAATAAATGCTAGTTACTACCAGTATTCAGAGACACACTGGTCATGATGAGCTTATATTAACTATGTCCCAAGTCAGTGAGGTAGGGGCTATATTTATCTTTTTGTTACATTGAGCACAGAGAGGTTAAGTAACTTGCCCCAGATCACACAGCTTGTAAGTGGCACAGTGGGATTTGAACCCAGGCTTCCTGACTCAGGTCCATATTCTTAACCAATGGCCCTGTAGACAGGAGACAGGGAGAGTGTCCAGACACACAGAGAGGGAGAGGAGAGCGAAAGGAATAAGGATGTGAAGAGCCACATCCCTCCCTGTCTCCCCACAGACCCCCGACGGCATTTCCATCAAGCGAGACTCCCTGTCTTCTCACAACCAGTTTGGCATCTTGCCCTTGTCTTGGAACATCCCGGAGCTGGTCAAGTATGTCTGGCCCTCCAGGAGGGGGTTTGGGGCTCCCCTATCCCAGGAGAAGGAGTGGGGGGCTGCCAGGCCTGGCTAGATCACTCACCTGCCTTCCCCACAGCATGGGGCAGTGGAAGATACAAGTCCACTATGAAGATTCACCACAGCAGGTCTTCTCCTCTGAGTTTGAGGTGAAGGAATATGGTAAGAGGAGGAGGGAGCCAGGGTGGGGGGCCCCGTAATGCTGGGCCCAGTGCCAGCCCCCTGCCAACACTGTCTGTACCCCCAGTGCTTCCCAGTTTTGAGGTCCAAGTGGAGCCTACAGAGAAATTCTACTACATTGATGATCCAAAGGGCCTGGAGGTCATCATCACGGCCAGGTGAGGGGCTAAGGGTGAGGCCACGTGAGAGGCCTGGTGAGGGGACAGGTGAGAACCAGGTGAGGGGACAGGTGAGGACCAGGTGAGGAACCAGGTGAGGGCCAAGCGAGGGCCAGGTGAAGGGCTAGGGGTGGGGCCATGTGAGAGGTCTGGTGAGGGGAGAGGTGAGAACCAGGTGAGGGGCTGGGTGAGGACCAGGTGAGGAGCCAGATGAGGACCAGGGGAGGAGCCATGTGAGGGCCAGGTGGGGGCCAGGTGAGAGACCAAGTGAGGGACCAAGCGAGGGCCAGGTGAGGACCAGGTGAGAGCCAGGTAAGGGGACTGGTGAGGGCCTGGTGAGAGCCAGGTAAGGGGACTGGTGAGGGCCTGGTGAGGGACAGGTGAAGGGCTGGGTGAGGGCCAGATGAGGGGCCAGGTGAGGGTGAGGTGAGTGGTGGGGGCTCTGGGTCATTGGAAGTTTGGGGGGACACTCAACTTTTCATGAGGGGAGAATCTGAGGCTCTCCTCACCTTGCAGGTTCTTGTATGGGAAGAATGTAGATGGAACAGCCTTTGTCATCTTTGGGGTCCAGGATGGTGACCAGAGGATTTCACTGGCCCACTCTCTCAGCCGTGTTTTGGTATGTGACAGAGGCCCCCTCTGAGTTTCCTCCACTCTGAACCTCCCCCCCACTCTCTCTGAGTCCCCTCCCCATCTGAGCCTGCCTCCTCTCTGAGCCCTCATTTCCTCCCCCAGATTGAGGACGGCACTGGGGAGGCCACGCTGAGCCGACAGGTCCTGCTGGATGGAGTGCAGCCCTCACGACCAGATGCCCTGGTGGGGAAGTCGTTGTATGTGTCCGTGACCGTCCTCCTGCACTCAGGTGAGGCTTGGTCTGAGGGTGGAGGTCCAGTACCACCATGTGATCCAGTCTGAGAGGGGAGGCCCACCTGAGGGGGAGGCCCAGTCTGAGAGAGGAGGCCCAGAGCATGGAGGCCCAGTCTGAAGGGAAAGCCCAGCATGAAAGTGGAATCCATTCTGAGCGGGGAGGTCTACTCTGAGGAAGGAGGCCTGGTATGAGGGTGGGATCCAGTCTAACAAAGGAGACCCAGTCTGAGGGTAGAGGCCCGGTCTGAGGGAGGAGGCCCAGAATGAAAGTGTGATCTTCATCTGAGGTGCAAGACACAGTCTGAGGGGAGACGCACAGAAGGAAAGTGGGGTCCAATCCAACAGGGGAGTCCCAGTCTAAGGGGGAGACATAGTCTGATGAGGGAGGCCCAATATGAAGGTGGGATCCAATCTCAGAGGGGAGGCCTGGTCCTGAGGAATGGCCAGGAGCCCACCCTCATGGTCGGCACCCTCAGGCAGCGATATGGTGGAGGCGGAGCGCAGCGGGATCCCCATCGTGACCTCCCCCTACCAGATCCACTTCACCAAGACGCCCAAGTTCTTCAAACCAGCCATGCCCTTTGACCTCATGGTGAGACCCAGGATGAGGCTGCACCCCCTACCCTGCTTCTGAACATTGCCCACACCTCTGGGTCCACCTGAACCCCCTCCACCTGCCCCGGCACCTACAGGTGTTTGTGACAAATCCCGACGGCTCTCCGGCCCGTCGCATCCCCGTGGCGACCCAGGGCAACAATGTGCAGTCCTTAACCCAGGACGATGGCGTGGCCAAGCTGAGCATCAACACGGCCAAGAGCCAGAAGCCCCTGAGCATCACTGTGAGTCTGCGCCAGCCTCAGGACCCCACAGCAGGGAGATGGGGCCTCTATTTGTACAGCAGGGTCCTGACGTACAAAGGGATCCTGCCATGTGCACAGTGGGGTCCTTTCATTTGCATGACGGGGTCTTGCCATTCACACAGAGGTATTCATTTGCGTAGAGGGCTTCGTGTCTGCACAGTGGGGTCCCGCCATCTGCCTAGACATCTTATAAGGACCCTTGTGATTACATTCAACCCACCTGGATAATGCAAAATAATCTACCCATGTCCAGATCCTTAATCCCGTCTGCAAAGTCCCTCTTGACACGATAAGTACCATATTCCCAGGTCCCAGGGATTAGGACGTGGACATCTTTGGGGGACCCGCATGCATCCCTCTTTCCCTGCCCAGGTAAAAACAAGGAAGGAGGGTATCCCGGAGGCACGACAGGCCACCAAGACCATGCAGGCCTACCCCTACAACACCCTGGGCAACTCCAACAACTATCTGCATCTCTCTGTGCCCCGTGCGGAGCTCAAACCCGGGGAGACTCTCAACGTCAACTTCCACCTGCGAACAGACGCCGGCAAGGAGGGCGAGATCGGCTACTACACCTACCTGGTCTGTGGCTGCCCAGACTCCCCAGAACCCCCTCCTTGATTCTCCGGCACCCACAGGAACACTCCCCCATCCCGGATCCCATCACCCTCCCTCCCACCTTCCCGATCCTTATGCCAACCTGTCCCCGCAGATCATGAACAAGGGGAAGTTGCTGAAAGTGGGGCGCCAGAAGCGAGACCCTGACCAGGCCCTGGTGGTACTGCCCCTGACCATCACTACAGACTTCATTCCTTCCTTCCGCCTGGTGGCTTACTACACGCTCATCAACAGCAAAGGCCAGAGGGAGGTGGTGGCCGATTCCGTGTGGGTAGACGTCAAGGACTCGTGTGTGGGCACGGTGAGCCTCCAGCATCTCTCTCTTTGTCGGTCTTAGGACTCTCCGCCTGGCCGTCCTTTCTCTGTCTTGTGCCTCCCGTTCTGCCTCTCTCTACAGATTTCTGAATCCACTTCTCCCCACTGTTGGCACAGTTTCTGCCTCTCCCTTCTCCTTTTCCATCTTGTTCTTTCTTCCTTCTCTGTTTCAGTCTCAGTATCTCTCCTGCTCCTAGTTTTGTCTCTTTCCTTGACGTTCAGCCTGATGCTGGTTCAGCGCATCTCCCTTCTTCTTTCTCTGTCTCCACCTTTCTGTCCTTCCAGACCAGCCCAGACCTCCTCTGTCCTCAGCTGACCGAGACGGGGGCCTTGCAGGGTTGACTTTGCTCTCCCACACCTCCAACCTGCCCACAGCTGGTGGTGAAAGGTGGCGGCAAGGAGGAGAAGCAGCATCTGCCTGGACAACAGATGACCCTCAAGATAGAGGGTGACCGGGGGGCCCGAGTGGGGCTGGTGGCCGTGGACAAGGGCGTGTTTGTGCTGAATAAGAAGAACAAGTTGACGCAGAGGAAGGTACATGCCCGGGTCGCTGAGCAGAGCAGTGAACGATGGTGGAGGCAAAGAGATGGCTTTAGGTTGAGGTGGGAATGGCGCTGGGGAGGGCAGATGAAGTGGGGTTAGCTGGAGGCTGAAAGACACGATGGGAGTGGACATGGACCTAAGGATGGCTTGACGGTCAGGGTGAAGATGGGAATGTGATGGTCAAAGGTCCAGGTTAGGGATGGTCATGAGAATGGACACGGCTCTAAGAGTCCAACAGCAGTGTAGTCTGGAATCATCCACTGTGGACAGCCTGGGGACCGGGATAAGGAGGGAGGTGGGTTGGATGGACATGTTCACGAGTTGGCAGAGGCCCTGTGGCCTGGCCTCACCCTCCTCCTGATCCCCTCCCCACCCCGCAGATTTGGGACACAGTGGAGAAGGCAGACATCGGCTGCACGCCGGGCAGTGGGAGGGACTATGCTGGTGTTTTCATGGATGCAGGGCTGGCCCTCAAGACCAACAAAGACCTGCAGACCGCCCAGAGGTCAGGTGAGGGTGCAACCAGCGCTGGTCCTGGGACAGGCAGCACCACCACCTCCCAGATGCTGAGAACAGGTGGGGCTAGGGCTCTGGGCTCAGGAGTCCCAGGTTCATGTCCTGCCTCCACCACCATCTAGCAAATCACTTCTCCTCACTGAGATGGAGCCACAGTTTCTCCATCTGTCAAATGGGAGCAATAGGACCCCTACCTCATGGCTACTGTGAGGAGTAAACCAAGGATGCCCAGTAGGTGCTTAATCCATCTTGTTCCTGGTCCACCTGCCCCTCAGATCCTGAGTGCCCAAAACCAGCCACCCGGCGACGCCGCTCCGTGCAGCTCATGGAGAAGAGGATGGACAAAGGTGGGAGCCCTCTGCTGGCCTTGCCCACCTCCCCCAACCCTGGACCTTGCCTATTTGGCATCCCAACTAAAGAGGGAGGCGGGGAGGGCCGGGCCCTGGGGAAGTCCTCCCCGGGTCTGTCCTGAGTTCCTCCTGCCTTGTGACGTGGGTCTGTGCACCCACAGCGGGCCAGTACAAGCAGAAGGAGCTGCGCAAATGCTGCGAGGACGGCATGCGGGATAACCCCATGGGGTTCCCGTGCGAGCGCAGGGCCCAGTACATCTTCAATGACCAGGCGTGCGTGAAAGCCTTCCTGGACTGCTGCACCCACATCACCCAGCTGCGGCTCCAGCACAGCCGGGACAGCACTCTGGACCTGGCCAGGAGTGAGTGACAGGGGCCTGGGGAGGAGGCCCTGTCTGAGGGAGGAGGATGTACAGTCTGAAGGAGGAAGAGGTCCCTGTCTGAGAAGGGAGGAGGTACAGTGAGGGGGGAGGAGGCCCTGTCTGAGGGAGGATGAGGTCCCTATCTGAGGGAGGAACAGGTCCTGTCTGAGAGAGGAGGAGGTCCCTGTCTGAGGGAGAAGGAAATGCAGTGAGGGAGAATGAGGTACAGTCTGAATGGGGAGGAGGTCCCTGACTGAGCAGGGCGGGGGCCATGTCTGAGGGAGGAGGAGGCCTTGTCTGATGGGGGAGGAGGAGATTCCTGTCTGAGGGGAGAGAACGTCCAGTCTGAGGAGGGGAGGAGGTCCCTATCCGAGGAGGCAGTAGGTCCTGCCTGAGCAAGGGGGAGATACAGTCTGAAAGGGGATGAGTTACTGTCTGAGGGGTGAGGACATCCCATCTGAGGGGGAAGGAGGCTCTGTCTGAGAGAGGAGGAGGCCGTCTGAGGGAAGTGGAGGACCTTTCTGAAGGGAGAGGAGGCCCTGTCTGAGGGAGGAGAAGGCCCTGTCTGAGGGAAGTGGAGGACCTCTCTGAGGGGAGAAGAGGCCCTGTCTGAGGGAGGAGAAGGCCCTGTCTGAGGGGAGGAAGTCCCTGTCTGAGGGAGGAGGAGGCCCTGTCTGAGGGAGGAGGAGGCCCTGTCTGAGGGGAGGAGGCCCTGTCTGAGGGGGAATGAGGCCCTGTCTGAGTGGGGAGAAGGTCCAGTCTGAAGGGAGAGGAGTTCCCTGTCTGATGGGGGAGGAGGGTCTTGTCTGATGAGGGGGAGGGGTCCAGTCTGAGGGGAAAAGAAGTACAGTGAAGGAGGAGGAGGTAAAGTCTGAATGGCAAGGAGGCCCATGTCTGAGGGGGGGAGAGATCCGTGTCTGACTGAGGAGGAGGGTCTTGTCTGAGGCCGGACCAGGCCCTCCCTGTCTGAGGGAGAAAGAGGTCCAGTCTGAGTGGATAAGAGGTCCCTGTCTGGTGGGGGAAGAGACCACTGTCTGAGGGGTGAGAAGATCCCTCTCTGTTGGGGGAGGAGGTTGATTCGTTGCCACCATCAAATCCTCAGACCCCATTCAAGTTTCACCAGTTTTTTTTTTTTTTTTTTTGGTTTGGACCTTTATAGGAAAAGTGTCCACTCCAGAATCCCAGGTTGCATTTACTGTCGGGGTATCTTTAGTCTCTTTGGATCTGTCGAATCCCTAGCAGTTCTTCTGTCTTTCTGTGACTTTCATGTTCTTGATGTATGTTAAGTACACAGGCCAGATAGTTTGGGATCTTCCCACAATTTGGGCCTGTCTTATGTTTCTTCACGATCACATTCAGGTTTTGCGTTTTTGGCAAGACTGTCACAGAAGAGGTATTATGTCCTTCTCGGTGCATAATATATGACATTGAGGCACATGACACCAAATTGTCCCATTATTGCTGATATAAACCTGGATCACTTGATTAAGGCACTGTCTGCTGGGTTTCTCCATTGTAAAGTTCCTCTTTATTCCTTTATAATTTTTGTTTGTTTTGTTTTGTTTTTTGCTGAGGAAGATTCACCCTGAGCTAATATCTGTGCCAATCTTCCTCTATTTTGTATGTGGGTCACCGCCACAGCATGGCTGCTGACGAGTGGTGTAGGTCTGCACCCAGGAACCGCCCGGGCCGCCGAAGCAGAGCATGCCAAACTTAACCACTAGGCCACGGGGCCAGCCCACCTTTATAGTTATTTTTTTAAATTTCTTTTAACTACCAGATCATGGCAAAATTTAAGCCAAAAGATATTTTCCCAAAAATCAATTTTTGCTTAGCGTCTAAGACTGCAGATAGGGACTCCTTATATGGTAATGTATGATTTTTGTGCACATCTCTATCTCTTTTTTGGCTTAGAAATAAGCAGCCACCTCTCAAAGGCAGCCATTGCCAAAGTGGATAGATATTTCTAAATTCTTTTAGCTAAAAAGCGAGCACGACTTCCACCTCCCCCCGCCAAGAAAAGATGCAAAGATTCCGACACACATGAGCTAAGGACTCTACCTTCAATCTCTTTGCAAATTATACTAACCTAGTCATGCTGCTTTCCACTACAGGGGCCCAAAGACTTTTTTTCGCAAAGAAAGGGCCAGTGGGAAAGGGAGACAAAACCTCTGATCTACTGGAATATGGTTTATAGGCACATGGGTGCTTCTTTTCCAGCACTGTGCGATTTCTTTAGCCAGTTGGGAGTGACAGAGGATTGCTTAGATGTTAGTACTCCAAAGGCACTTTAATAGATTATTCCAGAGTATGGGTAGATTTAAGCATCTGTGGAATCCCACCTACTTTGTTGTTAGGGAGACCTAGAGCCAAATTAAAATCTGTCCATCATGTTTTGAGGAAAGCTCATCCCGGGTTGAACTCTATACCAGCCCAACTTTGTTTACTGGCCAATGGTATCAAGCTGGCTTTTAAAGGCCATCACCTCCTCAACGGTCTCCATCAAATCTGGGGACTCTCTCAGTTGCTTTCATGATCGACATGACCGTCAGACACAGCTGGCACGGTGTCTGGGGGCTGTGATGCTTTCATGGGCCCACGCAAGTGCTTTCATTCCTTTGAAAATGAGAGGGAGAGGCCAGCCCAGTGGCTTAGTAGTTAAGGTCGCGTGCTCCTCTTTAGCGGCCCGGGGTTCACAGGTTCGGATCCCGGGTGTTAACCTATGCACCGCTTATCAAGCCACACTGTGGCAGCGTTCCACATATAAAGTAGAGGAAGATGGGCACAGATGTTAGCCCAGGGCCAATCTTCCTCAGCAAAAAGAAGAGAATTGGCAACAGATGTTAGCTCAGGGTTAATCTCCCTCACAAAAAAAAGAAAGAAAATGATGGGGAAAAATGAAAATAACCTAGCCTGGATTATTTTCACCTTTATACCAACATACTTGTAAAACGTGATTTTTTTACTGTTTTTTTTATGGAGGAAGGAGCCCCCAAAAGCAAACGTGCCTGGGCCCCCCAAAAGTCATCAGGCGGCCATGGGTGTGCTTCGCTGCTAGGAACCGCTCCAGGGCAGTAGAAAAGCATGCTTAAGGGGAAAGTGGGTCTGTTGTAAAGCTGGATTGTGCCCCCTTCCTCGCAGGTGACCTGGATGAAGACATAATCCCGGAAGAGGACATCATTTCCCGAAGCCAGTTCCCTGAGAGTTGGCTGTGGACCATAGAGGAATTAAAAGAACCAGAGAAAAAGGGGTAAAACTAGGACACTCCCCTCCCGACTTCAACCAACCCCCAGGCCAGCTCCTATCAACACCTTAGACCAGACCATTTAATTTTCACGCGCCTCCAATCCCCCATCTTTTCTGGAATCACTGTGGAACCCCACAATCCAGCCTAGAAAAAACCAGAATTGGGCTACCTACATGTGCTCCCCTCCAACCGGTCCCTTGGGGCCCCTCCATACCAGTTCTGTCCCTCCACCCTTCTAGATGCCTTCTCCTGATTCTCCTTCTTCTCCCCCATCCAGAATCTCCACCAAGATCATGAACGTGTTTTTGAAAGACTCCATCACCACCTGGGAGATTCTGGCTATAAGCTTATCGGACAAGAAAGGTGCGGGAAGGTGGTGGCCCCGTCCACAGGACGCAGGACCCCAGGGATCCTGGGCATTTTCTCATCCCATCCAACAGCCTCTGTTTCCTGGTGGCTTGTACCTTGTCCCCTGGTTGCTGGAGGGGCGTCAGAGTCTAGACTGTGGGTGACGTAGTCAGCGCTTTTTGTAAACAGATTTTATTTGTAGAGCAGTTTTAGTTTCACGGCAAAATTAAGTGGAAAGTACAGAGATTTCCCATACACGCCCTGCCCCCCCAACACACACACAGCCTCCCCCACTATCGACATCCTGCACCAGAGTGGTGCATTTGTTACATTCAATGAACCTACGTGGGCACATCGTTATCACCCCAAGTTCATACTTGACATGAGGGTTCATTTGGTGTTACACATTCTATGGGTTTGGACTAACATATAATGACATGTATGCACCATTACAGCATCACACAGAACAATTTGCAACAATGGAAACTTTTAAGGGGGTGATGTCGACATGAGAGTGTGTAAAGCAATTAAGAAAAACTAGAAGAGGAAACAGGATGAAATGAGTGATTGAAACATTAGTGGTCGGATTGTGAAACGTGCCAAAAAGGTGCTACCTGTCCCCCTCGCAGCTGACAGCTGGATGTGAGACCCTGACAAGCCCTGGCCAAATATGAATGGTTTATAGCAGGACAAGGAGTTGGGTGTGGAAAGTGAGCACTGATTTTTAGTGCAAAATAGAAGTGGGTGCCAAAAATCCCAGTCATCAAGATTAATAATATTTTATTGCATTTTTTTTTGTGTGTTTGAGGAAGACCAGCCCTGAGCTAACATTGATGCCAATCCTCCTCTTTTTGCTGGGGAAGACTGGCCCTGGGCTAATATCTGTGCCCATCTTCCTCTACTTTATATGTGGGATGCTGTCTCAGCATGGCTTGATAAGTGGTGCGTAGGTCCGCACCCAGGATCCAAACCCATGAACCCTGGGCCGCCAAAGCGGAGCGTGCGAATTTAAGCACTACACCACCGGGCTGGCCTTGCAATATTTTTTCTTTAAATGAATCCAAATGCAAAAAAATCCAAGAAGAACAAAATATCCAGTTTTTAAATAGAGACCAGCACCGTGCCGAGCCATATTGGAGTCTGAGGCAAGAGGAAAAATGTGCACACTGTATATGTGCTTTCTGTATATTTTAAAGGTTAACTTTTTTTCAGAGCATTAAAGTAGCTGAAAAAATATTGGAACCTTGAAAAGTAGGTTAAACTCACAACATTAACTTTATTTTATTTATATCAAAGCCAGAATTTATTATACTGTATTATAGTCTTGTTTAGTTCTAATTTATAATAACTTATACTTTTTTATTGTTTTACTTTCCTGGCTTCAAGATTTTCTGCTTCTTTGCTGGTCTTGCTTTTAATTGAAAGAATTGAAATTTTCTGGCAATTTCTCTTGAACAAGTGATGGGTTTAAATGAAATCATGTACCCAGGGTCACATAGTTTTTTGGAGTTTTTTTTTTTTGTTGCCTGAGGACTCCAATACGGCTCAGTATGGTTCTAGTTTGTGGCTCCCATCTCTGTTTCAAGTCAGAGCATCTTTATATTTACCTGTTGTACATTTTCATATATTGAAGTTCCTTTAAATGATTGGGGTTTCCTTTAAATGAAAAGAAAATTCCTACAGCTTTAAAAAAATAAAAGTTGAAAACCACAGATCCTTGCTGGTTAAAGCATGTGCTAGGCCAGTAGCAATCTGGTAAAGTAGCTTTACCTGATTTTGTTAGAAATTCAGAGTCTTGGACCCCACCCCTGACCTGCTGAATCAGAACGTGCATTTTAACATGATCTCTGGGAGATTTGTACGTGCATGAAAGTTGGAGATGTTCTGCCCTGCATTAGCGTTTCTCAGTCTCATGACTGATGTCATTCTGGGCTGGATCATTCTTTGCGGTAGGGGTGTGGTCCTGTACAATATAGGATGTTGAGCAGCATTCACAGCCTCTACCTGCTAGATTCCAGCACCCAGCCCCCAAGTTATGACATCCAGAAATGTCCCCAGACATTCGGGGGGTAAGGGTGGTTCCCAAAGGGCCCTGTGGTTTTAGAACCTGCTCTCCGTGCCCTTGTGACATCTTCTCAACGTCATTGTCTTGCCAGCCACTGTTTTAACTCTCTACGTAGTATCTTATTTAATGCTCACAAGAACCTTATAATGTCAGTACTATTATTTTCCTCTAAACGAGGACACTGAAGCCAGGGAAGGTACTTGCCAGATCAGGGACTTGCCCAAGATCACCAGTGGATGACCTTTTAAGATTCCAATCTTAGAGCCTCAGGATTTTAGCATCGTAACCAATGGAACTTGGAAATTTTAGACTCCTGGGCTGTTAGGAATTGAAGAGTCAGTAGGGTTAAAAGTAGGGAGCTTCCTAAGCTCAAATGCTTGGGTTCAAATTTCAGGTCCTCCCCTGGGCAGCTGTGTGGCCTGAATCAAGTTACTCATACTCTCTGGGCCCATCTATAAAATGGGCACGAGAGGGACCAGCCCCATGGCATGGTGGTTAAGTTTGGCGCACTCCACTTCGGTGGCCTGGGTTCACAGGTTCAGATCCCAGGCGCAGACCCACACCGCTCATCAGCCATGCTGTGGTGACGACCCACATATAAAGTACAGATTGGCACAGATGTTAGCTCAGGGCTAATCTTCCTCAGCAAAAAACCAAAAAAACGAAAAACAAGGGCACGAGAGAAATAGTACCTACTCAAAGCGTTGTTGGGAGGATTTTATGAATTAATACATGCAAAATCCTTATAATAGCACCTGGCACATTATTAATGTTTAATGAGTGTGAGTCATTATTGTTATTATTGTTAGAGTTGAATGTATTTTAGAGATCAAAGGGTAGATGCCTTTCAGAGATGTATAGACCCTTCTTTAAATCAGAATCATGCATCAGAATCGTTCCTTTTTTTAATTAATAGATTTTATTAAACAGTTTTAGTTTTACAGAAACAATTGAGCAAAAAGTACAGAGAATTGCCATATACCCCTCGCTTTCCTCAAATTCTCCTATTTTTAACTCCTGTTTGCATTAATGTGGTTGGTCCATTGGTTATAATCAATAGGCTGATCTTGATACATTATTATTAACTGAAGCCCACATTTAGGGTTCACTCTTGGTGCTACATTCTGTGGGTTTCGACAAATGTATCACAACATGTAGTCACCATTACAGTATCACACAGAATAATAGCTTCTCTGCCTTAAAATTGACACAAATTGTGTATCAGGAGTCATTGCTTTTTAATTCTCTTTCTATCCTTCCACCTCATTCCAGAAGAAAAGCTAAGTCTGGTGCAAGGATGCCATCACCTCCTCTCCAATTCTTATTAACTCCTTTTTTTAAACAAAGAGAGAGGAAGGGGTCTAGCTTTCTGCAGACAGTGGGAACTAGCCAGTATTTAACAAAATTGTTTTGTTTTCCTTGGGGTAACCTCCTATTTATGGCACAAGAAGCTGGGTATCTCATATACTGTAGTGATACCACACTAAACTTGAGTTTAAAAAATATAAAAACAAATAGTAGGTAAGAAAGGTAAATAGCACCAGTGACTATAGCAGACTCCCCAACAGTGATGAGTAAAGGGCTATAGATTGGAAAATAAGGATTTTGTTCAAGCCTCTGATTATTATTTTCTTTCACCATTAGAGAATATGCAAAAAAAATTATTAAATCTTAATAGATTTCTTAGTGTAACATTACTTTTAATGTGATAGTGGTTTTGTAAATTTCACTTGCATCAACGCTTTGCTCAAATTTGATCTGGTAACTGTTGTGTCACAAGTAACCATGTTTTTAGCATCATTTATGCTCAGTGTAGATCAGCATTGTCCAATAGAAATACAATGTGAGCCATATACGTCATTTTAAATTTTCAAGTAGGGCCATAGAAAAAAGTGGGTGGAATCAATTTTAGTAATACATTTTACTTAACCCAAATATATCCAAAATATTATCCTTTCAACATTTTGTAAAAATTTGCAAAACCACTACAACACTAATAATAATGTTACAATCATAAATCTATTAATAGTTATGAATACCTTATTAATATCTCAAAATTATGAATGATATATTTTACTTTTATTTGTACTGAACCTTTGAAATCTGGCTTGTATTTCTTACTTACAGTGCATCTCAGTTAGGATTGCCGGCTTTTCTTGGGAAATACTTTGATCTATACTTTAGGATTCATAAAATTTACAGTTGAAAAGGTAAATTAGCGTACCCAAGTTGTTCGAAACGTACTTGAACGTTTTTCAATCACTGAATCAAGCATCATTTTAAAAATTGAGATATAATTTACATACTATAAAAGTTACCATTTGAAAGTGCACAATTCAGTGATTTTTAGTATATTCACATGAGCATTGGTTTTTACTTTTAATTCTGAGTTAATTAAATGAAATAAAAGAAGGAGTCCAGTGCCCACTCGAGCTAGCCACATTTCAAGTGCCCAGTGACCACAAGGGACTTGGGGCTACCATTCTAGAGAGTGCAGATATGGACCCTTCAATTATGGCTTCTTCCCTCCTGCACATCTATCTTGGAGTAAAATTACAAAGAAATGAGAATCACTAAATCATGGCAACTCCCAGCCCCCACCACCATCTGTAATTTATCACCATTAGCATTGCTTAGTCTCTGGGCTTCTGCAAAGACAGGCCAGGCTTGGGACAGCTCCTATGGTCAGGGGTAAGCACTGAGACCCTGGGAGGGGCAGGAATTTGGACTCAAACTTGGACCTTGTCGACCCTGCCCACCTCCCACCACTGACACTCCATGTTCCGTTTCTCCCCGGGCAGGGATCTGCGTGGCTGACCCCTATGAGGTCACAGTGATGCAAGACTTCTTCATTGACCTGCGGCTACCCTACTCCGTCGTGCGCAATGAGCAAGTGGAGATCCGAGCTGTTCTCTACAACTACCGGGAGGCGGAGGAGCTCAAGGTGAGCCCTGGGATGGAGGGGGCACGGTGAGGGGCACGAAGCGGGGAACCGTGGCACATGCCCCTGCCTTTTTTGTTTGTGTGTTGTTTGCAAATTTCTTTTTTTTTATTGCGGTAACATTGGTTTATAACATTATCTAAATTTCAGGTGTACATCATTGTATTTTGATTTCTGTGTAGATTACATCATGTTCACCAACCAAAGACTAATAACTGTCCATCACCACATACGTGCCTAATCATCCCTTTCACCCTCCTCCCTCCCCCCTTCCATTCTGGTAACCACCAATCCAATCTCTGTCTCTATGTGTTTGTTTGTTGTTGTTGTTATCTTCTATTTATGAGTGAGATCATACGGTATTTGACTTTCTCCCTCTGACTTATTTTGCTTAGCATAATACCCTCAAGGGCCATCCGTGTTTTCACAAATGACCAGATTTCATCCCTTTCTGTGTGTGTGAGGAAGATTAGCCCTGAGCTCACATCTGTTGCCAATCCTCCTCTTTTTTGCTGAGGAAGACTGGCCCTGGGCTAACATCCATGCCCATCTTCCTCTACTTTATATGTGGGATGCGGCCACAGCATGGCTTGATGAGTGATGTGTCAGTCCGTGCCCAGGATCCAAACCCACAAACCCCAGGCTGCTGAAGGGGAGCATGCGAACTTAACCACTACACCACTGGGTCAGCCCCCAGATATCATCCTTTTTTTATGGCTGAGTAGTATTCCATTGTGTGTATATATACACCACACCTTCTTTATCCATTCCTCCCTTCATGGGCACCTAGGTTGCTTCCAAGTCTTGGATATTGCAAATAATGCTGCAATGAACACAGGGGTGCATATATCTTTATGCATTCGTATTTTCATGTTCTTTGGATAAATACCCAGCAGTGGAATAGCTGGATCATATGGTAGTTCTAGTCTTAATTTTTTGAGGAATCTCCATACTGTTTTCCACAGTGGCTGCACCAGTTTGGACTCTCACCAGCAGTGTATAAGAGTTCCCTTTTCTCCCCATCCTCTCCAACACTTGTTATTTTATGGCTTGTGAATTATAGTCATTATGATGTACATGCACCTGACTTGATACTCTCTTTCCTCTGTAGGTGAGGGTGGAACTCCTCCACAATCCAGCCTTCTGCAGCCTGGCCACCGCCAAGAGGCGCCACCAGCAGACTGTGACGATCCCGCCCAAGTCCTCGCTGGCTGTGCCTTATGTCATTGTGCCCTTGAAGACTGGCCTACAGGAGGTGGAGGTCAAGGCTGCTGTCTATCACCACTTCATCAGCGATGGTGTCAAGAAGACCCTGAAGGTCGTGGTGAGTCTTTGGGGCACCTGCTGCCCCTTGTCCTTCAGGAAAGGCTCCTGTCCTCCCTGTGCTGTCAACTCAGTTTGGAGACCCAGGCTCTGAGACATGAAGGGTGTCCACTGTCCAGCATGGGAAATTCAGGAGTCCTAGAAGTTCAGAATCAGGGCCAGGATGAGGGTGAGCCAAGTGAGGCACTCACCTCAGGCACAGAATTTTATGGGGTACCCAAAAGCTCAGTAATAAAGACCAATAATATATGTTTTCTTTAAAATACGTTTTAATATCCAGTATGATATTTTGTGACACGTTTCAGTATAGGGTTTTTCTTTTGATTTTAAAAATCTTGGGAAAACATATTTCACAGAGCAAACTTTATAAAGCAGTAATATACGATGCAAGAACATAGGAAACTTCTATTTTTACCTATGATTTTTACCTGAAAAAGTACATTAACAGTTATGTTTCTACTATTTCCCACACTGTGGAATACTTTAAAATACATAGAAGAGGGGCCGGCCCCGTGGCGTAGTGGTTAAGTGTGCTCGCTCCACTGCTGGCGGCCCGGGTTCGGATCCTGGGCGCACACCGATGCAGCGCTTGTCAGGCCATACTGTGGCAGCATCCCACATAAAGTGTAGGAAGATCAGCACGGATGTTAGCTCAGGGCCAGTCTTCCTCAGCAAAAAGAGGACGATTGGCATGGATGTTAGCTCACGGCTGATCTTCCTCACAAATAAATAAATAAATAAAATAAAACAGTGGATGGTTAAAATAAAAAAAAATAAATAAATAAAATACAATACATAGGAGATAAAAATCATCAATAAAAATGTCTTTTATCATCTCATTAATATTTTAAAGCAAGACGTGAGATTATAAACAAGATAAAAATATTTTAATGCAATATTTTAAGAAATCAAAATCAATGCCAAAAATATCTGTGACCAACAAAATATTAAAATTTTAAATAGAGACAGGATCTGACAGTATCAAGCCAAGCTATACAGGAGCCTGAAGCAAAAGGAAAAATGAGTGCCCCCATAGACATGCCTATGTATATATTTTAATGATTAATTTTTCCCCCAAATGTTAAAGTAGTTGGAAAAAATATTGAAACACTGAAAACCAAATGTATTAAAACTGACTGTGATTTTCTATTAAAATGTTTGATTTATACCCAAACTAGAATTTATTATAATTTTTCTTCCCTGGCTTTAAGGGAAACAAACTCATATTTTTTCAACTACTTTAATGTTCTGGAATAAAATTAGCCATTAAAAAAATACCTAAAAATATTTAGGTATATTTAGGGGCACACGTTTTTCCTTTTGCCTCTGGCTCCAATTTGGCTCAGCAGGGCACTGGTGGGGAGAAAGCCCAGCACTGTGCTAGAGCCTGCATGGCCCAGCTCCCAAGAGCCAGTGTGCCCATCACTTTCCAATTCTGCACTCACTCACACTGGTAGCTTGAAATCCATCATGGCAGGGATATTTACAGGATGGAAATTGGCAGCGCAACAAATCAGCGTCTTTTCTTCCCAAAGCTGCATGTTAAGTATTTACCCGCAAGCCACTGGACTAAACTCAGTCTGCAAAGGAAAATCTGGGCATTATAACCAGAAGAAAGGAGAATAGGCTCGGGGAAGGCAAAAACAGCCACTGTCCACCATGGAGGTTTATCTGTAGACACATGAGAGCTTTAGTTGGGCCTTTGATACTAATTAAAACGGCTCCTGTTTTAATTGAGTGCTTACTGTGTGCTAGGCTCTGTGCTAAGTATTTAGGCACATTCTTTTATTTATTTTTGTTTTGTTTATTTTATTATTTATTATTATTTAATTATTACTATAGTTTTAAATTTTATTTTATTCTAAAATTTTTAAT